TTACCGTTAATGTAGCCATCTAAATTGACGCCTTAATACCACAAATTCTAAATAGCACTATTCAAATAATAATATCGACTTGGCCTACTAATTGAATAGGCAATATCAGGTCCAGTGCAATTCATGACATACATTAAACTGCCAATGATACGAGAGTATTCCAATTGAGACTTACTATCACCAGTATTGGAAACAAGATGCATACTAACATCCATAGGTGTTTTCATAGGAATAATATTATATTTCTTGAATTTATCAAGAATCTTCTCAATGTAGTGTGATTGAGACAATATGAGACCATCAGATGTTCTAGAATTTTTAAGTCCTAATATAATATTGGCCACACCTAAATCCTTCATTTCAAATTTACTTGTTAGCATCCTTTTTGTAGTTTGAATTATGGTATCATTGTTACCCATAATCAACATGTTATCTACATATAAACATACCATGACATATCCATTTGGAGTGTTCCTGACATAAACACATTTGTCACACTCGTTAACTTTGGAACCATTTGACATCATAACCATGTCAAATTTTTCATGCCATTTCTTAGGAGCTTGCTTTAATCCATATAATGATTTAACAAGTCGACATACTTTCTTTTCTTGTCCTGAGGCCACAAATCCTTCAGGTTGCTCCATATAAATTTCTTCATCCAATTCCCCATTCAAAAATGCCGTTTTAACATCCATTTGATGTATATCCAAACCATTCAATGTTGCTATTGCAATAAGCATACGTATGGATGTGATTCTTGTCACAGGAGAATAGGTATCGAAATAATCAAGACATTCTTTTTGCTTATAGCCTTTAGCGACAAGTCTTGCTTTATATTTGTCAATTGATCCATCTGCTTTCATTTTCCTTTTGAAAATCCATTTACATCCCAAAGACTTATTACCGGGAGGGAGGTCTACTAATTCCCAAGTATGATTTTGTAGTATGGATTCAATTTCACTATGAACAGCTTCTTTCCAATATGAAGTTTCGGTTGATGACATAGCCTCCTTAAAACTCTGAGATTCATTTTCTAACAAATATGTTAGAAAATCAGGCCCAAAGGAGGTTGACGTCCTAGCCCTCTTGCTTCGTCTAGATTGTTCATTTATAAATTCTTGATCTATAGTCTCTTCGTTTTCACGAGATCTCTTTTGTGAATTTGATTCACCTTACATGTTATAAGGAAAAGTATTTTCGAAAAATGTAGCATCCCTTGATTCAATAATTGTATTAACATGCATATCAGGTATTTCAGACTTATATACCATAAATCTGTACGCATTACTATGGTAGGCATAACCAATGAATACACAATCAATGGTTTTAGGTCCTATCTTAACCCTTTTAGGTTTAGGAACTACTACCTTAGCCAACATCCCCATACCTTCAAATATTTATAATTAGGTTTGTGACCTTTCCATACTTCATAAGGTATTTTTTGCGTTTTTCGATGTGGTAGTTTGTTAAGAATATAGTAGGCAGAAAGCAAGGCTTCCCCCCACAAGTTCTGCGGTAATCCAGAACTTATTAACATAGCATTCGTCATCTCCTTCAATGTTCGATTCTTGCGTTCAGCAATACCATTAGATTGAGGAGAATAAGGCGCGGTAGTTTGATAAATAATTCCGTGTTCCGAACAGAATTTCTCAAATGGTGAATCATATTCACCAACTCTATCACTTCTTATGGCCTTAAGCTTTTTACTAAGTTGATTTTCAACTTCTAACTTGTAGTGTTTAAACACTTCAATTGCTTCGTCTTTACTTTTGAGCAAATACACATAGGAATATCGAGTACAATCATCGATAAAAGTGATAAAGTACTTATTACCTCCTCTAGTTTGAACAAATTTTAAATAACATATGTCGGTGTGAATTAAATCTAGGGGCTCGGTACTTCTTTCAACAGAACGAAAGGATAGACGTGACATTTTGGCTTCTACACATATATCGCATTTGTGATTAGGATTTAAATCACACTTTGGTAATAAATCTAATTTGATTAGTCTACGCAAAGTGTTATAACTTGTATGTCCTAATCGTTCATGCCAAATGTTAAATGACTCAAGCAAGTAAGAAGAAGATATATTCTTATTCATAATTGGAGGTACAACAGTCATTACATTCAATTTAAAGAGCCCCTCATTCAGGTAGCCCTTTCCTACAAACATTTCATTTTTTGATAGTACAAATTTGTCCGAGACAAATACTAGTTTAAACCCATTCTTACTTAGTAGAGAACCAGATACCAAGTTTTTCCTAATATCGGGCACATGAAGAACATCATTCAGAGTGAGCTCTTTTCCACTTGTCATTTTCAGCACTATCTTCCCATGTCCTTCTACCTTGGAAGATGACGAGTTTCCCATGTAAAGATGTTCATCATGATCCATTGCTTTGTAGGTAGAGAACATTCCGCGGTTTGAGCATATGTGACGAGTAGCTCCAGTATCTACCTACCACTCCTTAGTGTTTCCAATTAAGTTACATTTAGAGACGACCGCAGAAAGATTCATGTCTTGTACCTTATCAGTGAGGTTCTCATGTTCTGTTACATTGGCTTGGTTAGTTTTTCCCTTCACATTTTTTGCTTTTGACAATCCTTGGATCGATGTCCTGCCTTGCCACAATTGTAACAGCTGCCTTTAAACTTTTTAGCAGTTTTTGAAGAACCAATTTGTCCTTCCCCATTGTGCTTCCTCTTTTTGCTTGTCTTGAAACCTCCTTCTACAATGTTGGCTTTTGATTCCATTTTATTAGATGCACCATTTCTTTTTTCCGTTTTACGATTGTCTTCTTCTATTCTCAAACGGACAATGATATCTTCAAGTTTCATTTCCTTCTGCTTGTGCTTGAGGTAATTCTTGAAATCCTTCCATGAAGGTGGTAATTTCTCAATTAGTGCAGCGATTTGGAATGATTCACTTAGTTTCATTCCTTCGGCATGGATGTCGCTAAGTATGATCTGAAGTTCTTGAACTTGGGATATGACAGTCTTGTTGTCAACCATTTTATAATCCAAAAAACGACCGACAATGAATTTCTTCGTGTCGGCATCTTCGATTTTGTACTTTGTGTCCAAAGATTTCCACAATTCTTTTGCGGACTTAGCATTGCAGTACACATTATATAATGTGTTATCCAATCCATTAAGCACATAATTTCTGCATAAGAAATCAGAATGCTTCCATGCATCAACCGCAGCCAATTTTTCAGCATCACTGTCTTGCTCGGTATATGAAGGCGCGTTTTCTTTGAGAAATTTAGCCAGATTTAATGTCGTCAGATAAAAAAGCATTTTTTGTTGCCAACGCTTGAAATCTGACCCATTAAACTTTTCTGGTTTTTCCCCGGTCGTATTCGGGAGTGTGGTACCAGAAGTTGCCATTTCTGAATGCAATTAGAAGATCAACGGTAAGAAGGAGTAGAAACAGAAACAAATAATAATAATAAAAAAATTCGTTTTAAGATTGTTGTTTCTAGAGTTTGAATTCACTCCTTCCAAAACAATCCGACAGAATCACCTGAATGTAATGATTGATCAATAGGATCTAAAGTTGTAATTCGAGCCCACCGACTTCACGATGTTTCCTTAAAACGAATTTACTGCCTTCAATAGTGCTAAAAGCGTCCAGCAATCGTTTTCCAGGATAGAACGAATTTTTGTCTCCCACGGAATCAGCACTGCAGTCTGTAGGAGTTCCAACGAACTCAACGAAGTGCCTTCTACTTCGAGACAATATCAGAACGAGAGAGATGGAGATGAGATTCAAAGCAGAGAAAATTTGCAATGAAAATGGTGTAAATTTTCTGGTAGAAAGGCTGGCTATTTATAGACTTGTTCGTGGCCATTCGAACAGTCATCACCTTTCAGACAAGCCTCAAAAATCCGAACAAACATACTGTTCTTAAAAGTCGTGTCTGTTAAGTCGGTTAACGTCGGCTAATAGTCGACTGTTTGGTCGGTAAACAGTCGACTGTTAAAAGAAAATAAAACACTCGGAATAAGCCAAAATTTAAATTTCATTTTGTACCCAAGAATTTGATTATTTACAATTTGGCCCAAAATTTTGTCCAAAAAGTTAATATAATGTAAAGGTCCACCCGGACCCGCACCGGACTCGTGCCGGCCGGTCGGACGGCGGCGGTGGCGCGCGCGTGTGGGTTTATGACCGAACCCAATAGGATATAGGTCTTCCCCCTTCCAAATACTATTGGTACCCCTTGGGGCCCAAACCCAATTCCAAACTTCCACCTTATAAACCACACCAAAGTTTCCTAACTTTCCTATGTGGGATAAGTGTTTGACAAATCAAATTCTTCCATAATCCTTAGTTTATGTGGGTTACTTTAACGCTTAATATTTCATTCAATTTTAAATGATTTTCGATAAATAAATATATCACGTTAATCATCTCGCGGAGTAGAACGTGAATATGCTAGGTCCCGTATTATTTAAAAGGTGGGTCCCACTGAAATTTGGGCTCAAAGTTGACCCATTAAACCATTTTTTTCCCAACACAATTAATGTAAACTACGTAAAAAAGGCATGCATGAGTAAATTTATTTTATTAAATTTAGAAAAAAAAATCAATGATTTCATAGGTATATTTTAGACATCTCGATGTTGGCATAATTGTCCAAGTTGTTTTTGTAATTAAATACTGGTTTGGTGCAATGTTTGATATCCGTAGTCTAATTGAACATGACAAACTCAGTATCTAGATTCACGAATTTGTACATTGTGGGCATCAATGCGGCAATTCCTAGTCAATCGTAGTGAAATTTCCTATAGAATCATCTTTTTCATAGAGTTGTTAATTTGTAAAGTACGGTTTTAAATTTAAGGCGGTGATTTGGCTATTTAAAAAGACAAAAGATTGACTAGAAGATAAGAAAATGGGAAAAATCTTCGGATCTGGGTGTGTATATAAATGGTCCGCAGAATGTTGACACTGGCACGAGGGGAACCGGCAAATTTACAGTTATATATTATCAAGAACCCTAATTGAAAAGCCCAATTCCAAAAGTAGATTCATTCTTTACACTCCTATCACTTTCTCTTGGCGATCTCTCTCTCACTCATACTGTACACTATCTTGGAATTTACAGTCTCCAAAAATCACACATACAAATTAACAAAACCCTACTTAGTGTATATATGCATCACTATCTGCATTTCTAAAATCTCATGGGTAACCGCAAGAACTTCAATATCTTCATCTTTCTCGTTCTTCTTCTCGCACTGATGATGTCTTTCACATATCCTTCGCGATTGCATGAAACCGAACCCACCGCAGCTCCATCGATGGCGCCGTCAGCAAAGTACCAGAAGTTCGATGTCAAGAACTCGAAGCCATTCTTCTTGAATAAACGGGGGCGTCAGAACAAGAAAGAGAAGGGTTTGAACCGGAATAAAATGAAGAAAAAGAAGATAAAGAATTTTAATGCAAAGCCTTTCTTGGTTATGCTTCCCAAGGGCTTTGTCCCTCCTTCAGGCTCATCACCATGCCATAATCTTTACCCGAATTCAGTCACTTTCTTTTGTGATCTTTCTACCAATAGACGACCTTGAAGAACAGTCCACAAGATGGAGAAATCATAGGAAAATGCTTCAAGAGAAATGCAGATGATTATTATTCATCGTTTTTTTTACAGCATACGTATAGCCGGGATAAAGGTCAAGTAAGCAGAAATGACTCACAGATGAGGAATTATGAGTTTCAATAATACGGACGCATGCATCAAGATGTATACTACAAATCTTGAATATGCTTTATGCAGTTTTATCTTCGTTTCTTGTCATGTAGTTTACATTGTTATGAGGGTTTTCAATTTGCATACCTGTTTTGTTATCCTGTATGAATAATAATACATTAAAAGGTAATAATTTTTTGGTTTTTCTAGTTATAATTTGCTTGTTTTATTAATTTCGCCCGAATTCACTCTGGAACACGCTCTACATGAAATTTCAGGCCTCAGATTTGGTGACTGCACAATTTGATTATGCCCTTTCTGATATCATAATTTAATCATTTTAAGGTTAAGGAGGGGAAAATGTATTCATTAATTCTTCACGTTGAATGGGATACTCTGAAATGTCTGTTCTTTTGACTTTTGACATCTGAGGATTTTTACTTTTTATTTATTGACTTAAGGTCAAATACCAAGTATCCCAACGGATTGACAAAATTAAAGCCAGGAATTGAGTAAAAAGCATATGGAATTTCCGTAGTTTGAGGGAATTGTTCCATGTGTACTCCACATTTTCTTAGCGTTTACTCCATGCATGCATGAAATGAGTAAATTTCTGCTCTTCACGATGTTCTTACACAAATCAATGCACAGGATTAATAATTTTTTTAAAAGCAAAAACAAAGACTAATTGATGAAATTATTTCATTCACCTTAATAATGCTAAAATTACTTATGTAAAACTGTACAACTCACGAATGCAGCTCTGTGTGTTAAAAAATATCCCAATGCAGTGACGGACACAAACGTTTTGAATCAATGACGAATGTAGACATTTTGAGTTAAGGACAAATTTTGTACAGATCGAATACTTTGTTATTAGTTTTTGAATAGATCATAATTAATCCAAGAAAAAGCAGATTTAAGTTTAAAAAACATTTCTTCATTAATATTTTGCTTATCATCTTCATTCATTTGATTTTGAACAATCATTTTATTAATATTTTGCTCATCACAAAAATATATATATATATATATATA